CCGGGGTCCCCGCCGCCGCTTCGGCTCAGCAGCAGCCGCCGCCGCCGCCGCTGCCGCTCCAGCAGCCGCCGCCGCCGCCGCCGCCGCTCCCTAGACCGCCTCCTCTTCCCATGGCTGCGCCCTGCTTGGCAGCTCGCGGGCTGTCAGGCTTGGGGAGGAGGAGGGGGCGGAGTGAAACGGGAAGGGAGGACTGGAGGGGATGGGTGGGAAACGGCGGCCGCCGCTCACCAGGGGTCACTCCTGGACGGGCCTGCCGCCCCCGCGACCCGGGCTGCCGCCGCGAGGTGAAGCGGGAGTTCGGGGCGACCGGTTCGAGACCCGCTGCGGAGGCGCGGAGCGCCGTCCGGGCCAAGCATTCCGAGCAGCTGGGATGAAGCGTTCCCCGGCGAGGAGTTGGAGTTGGTGCGTGTCACTCTCTTCTGGGCTGCGCGGCTCCTCCTAGAGGAAAATATTGGTAGTTGCAGGACACTTCCTTCCTCTCCGCCCACCCCTGTTCCCAAAAAGAAGGCAGGACCTAAAAGAGCATGAAGTGCAGTCAACAAATTGAAAAGAACACTTACAGAAAAGTTAGCTATCTGCAGGAATGGGAAAAAGACGAGCAGGATAGCTCGGAAAGCGTGATAGGCCAACCAAACATTGCCTCTCTCCACCTGCAACCAATTTCCAAACTCTTGCTTCCTGGGGAAAAAGATAGTTAAAAGTAGACGGGATCTTATTTTAGAGGTTAGAAAACAGAGACAGAGAGATGAAGTAATTTGCCAAAAACACAAGTCTTGTTAGGAGAGACGTCTGTCCCGAAGCCAGAGCACGGGGCTACAGGGTGTCCAGACACAGGCCTCAGCCGGAGGACTGTCCTTGTGTATGACTAAGGGAACGCAGTTTAACTGCCCTGCGCAGAACACAGCTCATCTGTCAAATACGAGCCTGTCCACCACTTTTCACCGTAGGAAGACAAAGTGACAGAAGTTGTCAAAGTGCTTCAGAAAGTTAATATCGTTGTGCATGAGCATGTCGTTTTGTAAAGCATCAAACTCCCAGTCACCACACGCTTTTCTCAGCAGAAAGTACAAAAGTCCAGTTCTAGGTTGTCTGAGATCTGAAGGAGCAGCCAGTCATGCTCCCTTTTTACTATTTACTTTACTACTGACAGCCAGTTATAATGTCGTTTATCTAACAGCTTCTAAACAGCTTGGGCTTACAAAATGACTTTTTTTTTTCTTTTACAGGGCTCCAAACACAGAGCAGAGTTTATAACCAGAGAGAAATGTTGAAACAACAATCTAAAGAAACCAAGCTTCTTAGCACTGGAATAAAAGATTCCTGGGGTGTGGAGAGCAGCACATGGTGAGTGGTACATGGCAAGTAGTACAGAGAAGGCAAAAGAAGGAAGGAACTCAGGACCCAAGAATGCATCACATAAGATACTCCTATTTTTAAAGGAATCAAAGATATGGAAAATTCTGTTCCTTAAGAGTCCTTTTTGAGTCTCAGCTATGGCTCAACAACCCAAATGTTCCAGGCAAAGAAGGACAGCCAGAATGAAAGAAGGAGGAAATATTCTAGAAGGGGTTTGTATCATCACAGTCCTATACCGTGGCAGGAGTCAGGTGGATGTTGATTTCGAACTGGTCCTGTTCTATCCCACCTGAGTACAAGGTGGCTCTCCTTCTCTTCTCCGGTCCCTTGATTTCTAGGGTTCCGGGCTCTGCGAGAGCAGTGGGGTGCTTCCCAGTGTCTAGAGTTTTTAAAACAGGAGTTGCTCACATAGACAAAGATGAGGGCCCAGGCAGGCGGAACTCCTGCTGGGCGTTCTATGCATGCCATGTCGGCTGAAAGGGCATGAAAGGGCATGACAGGAGGGAGACAAGGCAGTCCTCACGTGCTGACTCCACTCCTGTTTGAGATGACCTTCCGAGTTGGCCCTTCACACTCTGGCACCACCACCTTCTCTCTTTATATGCCTTTTCATCCTCTTTCCCCCATCCTCCAGCCCAGGGAATCTTGACATAGTCTAGGAGGTGCCAGATGGACTCACAAAGTATTTTCTAAGTTCTATTGTTTATGGCCTGAAGATGATTTAAGAGCAATGCTATAAAAGAAGGATTGCCTTCTCTTTTTTTCTGGGTTCAGCAGTAGCCTTCATTCCCTGAGTCAGGAAAATGTAGACTGATTGCTTTGGCTTCTGCTCCACCTTTGGTAAAATAGTCATTGTGCACCAAAGCACAGGAAAAGACATGTTGGTTAATATAAAATGTTATGGAACTAGATATAGCCTTGCAACTTACACAAAGGGCAGTCTTTAAGTCCCACAAATAAAGGTCCTTGATCTCATACATGACTATGTATAGGTCTATAGTGGTACGTCCCTCTTTATATTTTCTAGGTTATGGGGGGAAATGTATCAGGTCTTAGGTTGACTAATATGTTACAAATTAAGGCATACCAAAGCACACTTGCCTTGTGAAATGTGAAATTGCATTTCCTCATGCCTTCTCCTCTGCCTGGAATATCCTACTTTGACCGTGTAGGGAAGTTCTCCTTAACCTTCCAATTCCAGTTCAGTTGTGTGGTTTCTCTATAAAGTCCTTCCTCGCTCTTCCCAAAGGCGGAATTAATGAATTATCTTTGCATCTGCATCCTGATAGGCTTTTATACCTACTTTCATTACAGTTTTTATTGATAGGTCCACTTTCCCCATTAGTTATGAGACCTCCAAAAGAGGCACAGGTAGTCTTAATATTAGTACCTAAAAAGTCTAGGTTTGTGCCCAGCAAATGGTAAAGTGCCTGACAAATGCTTAACCAAGTTAAATGAAAATTTATTCCATCCAAATTTGTACCTCAAACCCAGATCTCTATACAGAGCTGCCATGTTCCATGTCTCTCAAACTTACTTTAAAGGATTTTTAAAAACTAACCCTGAACTCCCATCCACCAGTTTCTTTCATTCAACAGATGTTAGAGAGCATATACCATGACAAATTTGTTCTAGGAACTTAAGATGCATCAGGGAACAAAACTTATACAGCATCCCCATAAAGACCTTGCCCTCAAGGGGCTTGCATTCTACTTAGGAGAGACAATGAACACAGTTAAGAAGTAAATCACTGAAGTGCTGATTATAGAGAACTATGGCAGGGTAAGGGGCTGAGGAATGCCAGGTAACAGGTACAAGAATGCTGGGAATTCTCTCCTTGCTCAGAACTGAGCAGTGTATTAGAGGAGTCGAGCATGTGATGGTTATGAACACATAAGCGATCCTTGAGCAGGATAACCTCTCCATCCTCATCCCCAACTCCAGCCACAAATGCCTTGGTTGAGAGGATGCAAAAGGAATCATAAAGGGAAGAAAACAACTTAGGAAACTTCCTCTACTGAAAGGCAACATGGGAAAACCCATTTCATGATCTAGAAATTCTTAGCCGAGACTTATGAGGAGGTCCCAGAACTAGAATTAAAGCTTCAACCCACCACTGATTTTGTGAATTTCAAAAACAGTAGGTATTTCATTTCAGAGCTCATAAAAGCTAAAAGGAATATGATTGCCTTGACTCTCTGGTGGATTCAGAGCCACCCACAGGAAAGCTCAGGGCCTGAGCAACACCAGACAATGGACAGACACCTGGTGGAAAGGAACAAAATAAGACAGGTCTCAGTAGGGACTCATGAATGAATGTTCCCTTTTAAATCATTTCAGTGTAGGGGCGCCTGGGTGGCCCAGTCAGTTGGGCAGCAGACTCTTGATTTCAGCGAGGGTCGTGATCTTGTGGTTCATGGGTTCACGCCCTGCATCAGGCTTTGCGCTAGCAGTGTGGAGATTGCTTGGGATTCTCTCTCTCTCTCCCTCTCTCCCAGCCCCTCCCCTGCTTGCATGCTCTCTTCTCTCTCAAAGTGGGTAAATAAACTTAAAAAAAAACCATTTAAGTGTAAAGATTTAAAAAATAAAAACAATTTTTGAGATTATTTTTCCCCTCCTCCCATCAAATGCAAAACCTTGTTTTTAAAAAACGTAATAGAAAGTCATCTGGCTTCTGTCTGGATAATTATGTTGATGAGTAACCCACTAACTCCCTTACTGGGAAGCAAGCATGTTCCATTTTGTGACTACACCATTTGTTAAAAGTACTTTAGCCAGACTCTGCTATTCTATTATTTATACCCAGTTCTATCTCTCAAGCTCATAGGAACAAAATTAGGCATTTAAATTTTTTTTTTTTTTTGAGACACACTTTCACTCATGTCAGTACAAGTTACTTCTTCTCTGGGCCAAACGTGGCAGATCTTTTCGGTTCTTCTCATGCAATGTGGTTTCCAAACCTGACAACATCCTTGTCCTTCACCTTAGTGTGTGCTCTGCTTCATCAAAATCCTTTATAAAGTGCTGTTCCCAGCATCAAATTCAGTCCCATTATGGACACCACAAGAGAGAGGAGAACCGTGAGCTTCCAACTACACCTTCGGGAGTAATGGAAATGGTAGAAAGAATCCCTGGAGTCTGGCAGATGGGGCCGGAACCCCAGCTCTGACCCAACTTAGCCTACGCTCTAAGAAAGTACATTTAGCAAACTTAACCTTGATCCTGGCATTTGTATCTCTTCTTTCCCTCCACATTCAGTCCTTTCCTACTTTTGTCTTCACAGATTATTTTGTTCTTTGTTTCTATACTTCTCATCTTTAAAAGAGGTGGAAATATAAAAGCAAAAAGGGAGGTGAATGAAAGGAACCTGAGGAGGTATGAAAAAGTTTCTCATAGCAACTTTCCTTTATAGAAATTAGGCACACAGAATATTCCAATTACTAAATAAACTACCAATCTAATTTGCTTATCAGACTTCTCTGAAAGCGACCCAAGGGGAAGAACATTGAATCCTTTGCACATAAAAGGAACAGACCTACCTACCTACCACCAAGGTTCTACCCAGTGAAATCAGGAGAAGTCAGGGGAGGAGATGTGAGAATTCCTGGCTGGAAATTCCCTTAGGTATATTGAAGAGAGAGAGGGCTTGCAGGGTAGCAGCATTTTTCTCAAGGTTACCAGCCCTCTGTAGCAATTGCTGAACCAAGCCTATGGTTCTCACCACAAGAAAGCACAGTATCTTTAATAAGAAAGTTTGAGGACTAAATAAAATAGGTCTCAGCTATTGTAGACAAATAATAGATTAGAATGTCCAAATTGCATTTGCCTCATAAATTTGTTTCTCATACTTCCCTAATACTCAGTATTCCAAACATTCACATAAATTATGTCAATTTTTCTTCACAGTAGTTCTGTGAAGAAGGTGCAATTATCTTCTGTTGATCAGTGAGGAAGCTGGCTTAGAGAAGCAAAGGGACTGGACGAAGCACACAATTAGGCAGATTCAGGTTTGGATGGGGACACAGAGACTTTCTGGGCTGAGTCCATTCTTTGGACTCCTCTACTGCCTCACCTCTCCATCTTGTCCATCTTGTGTGTGTGTGTGTGTGTGTGTATTTAAATATTAATTATAGTATAGTTAAAATACAGTGTTATATTAGTTTCAGGTAAAATATAATGACTCAACAATTTTATACATTACTCCGTGCTCATCGTGATAAGTAAGTGTACTCTTAATCCCTTTCAGCTATTTCACCCATCCCCCACCGACCTTCCCTCTGGTAACCATCAGTTTGTTTTTACCCCAGCAGACCACAAGCATCTGTCTGAGGCAAAAACTTTAAAATTTCTTCAAATTTCCAGGAACCAAGTTAATAGGGAGTGGTGGGGGGACATAAGCAGTCTATTGCATTTTTAATACTGTTCCATGCAGGTTCACCTCTAATATTTGTGGGGTTCAGAGCCAGAAGATAAATGGAGCCCACATACCACAGGTCTAGATATCCAAAAGTGATGGTCAAACTAACAAATTGTTGGATACAATATACTCTATCTTCTTATCTTGAGAAATGTACCTTCAAAATGACCTGGGATGACAGATGTGAGTTTGGATTTCTCAGAGTTCTGCATCGCCGAGTGGTAATGTAGTAAGATCGGCTTGATCTCCGTGTCCATCCTCCCCGCTTCTCTTCTCACTCCTGGCTCTCCCTTACACACAGAGAGGTCTCCTATACATATGTGAAGGACCCTAGTTCACATGTGTAAGCTCTAACCAATCTCTCTCTCTCTTTCCATCCTCAGGACTTCAAGACATTTAGGCTGGGAACTCCAAAGTCTGAGATATCCAAAGGATAATCTAAAGAAAGCACAGCCCATGGATAGGCAATCTCATTCACCCAAAGGTTCCTTGTCTTGTGAATTAGGACATGGCCCCAAGAGAGCCAGTGGAAGGACCTTTCTCTCATAGGTCTGAAGGCAGTACTTATTAT